GGCGTGGCTCGCCGCTGCTCCGCGCTTGCCCTGCCTCTTGGCAGCCGTGGTGTGGCGTGCAGCCGCTTGTTGGTAGCAGGGTCAAAGCGGGGCTGAGAAAACCCAGTTTACTGTATTTTCCTCGTGGCGAATGCATACCTGAAAGTCCCCTTGGAGAAACAAGTGACAAGCGGAGCGTTACTGCAGCGTACTGGGCACACTCCCGAGGCGGTCTCCCGGAGCTCTCCCAGCCTACGCGGGAGGCCTCAGAAGGGGAACGGGCCTTTGGACGTGTAAATGGAAACTTCAGAAATAGTCCTAAGAGACAACTGGAAGAGCATTAACTCTTCCACTGCAGCATCTGTAGTTTTCATGCTGGTTTAGCATCCCTGTTGATGCATTTCATCGCCTGTCACCCTGGCCATTTTCCTTCCGTGTTTGACGCTTCTAGGCTTGTTTTCTTGGTACCTGTGAGTTTTGTGGCACGTCAGCTTCTTCGGGGTCGTAACGTGTCTGGGGATCTGTGCTTAGTTTGCCTTAAGCTTGCATTGATGCCCAAGCCTTTGAATAAAAACTTATTTCCTGGGTGAACTCTTTAGCACGGTGTTCAGCAATGGTTTACGTTGTTTGTCAGCTGCTGGGTTTTGATGCTAAGCATTGCTTGGGGGAATAGGGAGCCAGTTGGCTTCTATATCAGAATGTCTGGCACAGTCCTGTTTGCAGCTGAAGGCTTTGCTGGGTTATAGCGCCTTGCGTTTGGAGGCATTTTTGTGAGTGTGATTGTTATTGCTTACCTGGTATTAAGCTTCAGGTTGCTGGCTTGAGTATCTAAAGTATCTGAGAGCTGGCTGATGGTTTCCAAACATTGAGAATCTTTGCGCAGAAGACTCTGGTTTTACCCTCTTGAGTTATTGTAAATTCCCATTGTCCTGTAGCAGGCAATGAAGCTTAACACAGTAACTATTCTTGAGATATTAATTTCTGCCTGTAATAAAGTCTCCTGTTAAATTCACAGTAACTGAACTGTGTGTTTTAATGCCCTAGAAAAACGTGTGGCCTTTGAATCGGGGTTACTGCTCCATCAAGTCGTTGCTAGTGCTACCAATTCTATTGCTTAGACTTACAGTCTTACACTGCTCCAACAGTGATTATTTGACCTTGTGGAGCGGAGAATCTTTCAATGCCAAATATGCACTAGTTAATGAACATCTTTGTAGAGGATGATCTTAACAAGTTGTCACTGTCCCTTTGGACAGTTGTATGAAACTCGTCTTTTGAGATTCCTCTGTGGTTGTTATGTGATTTTTGTCAGAGGTCTCTGCCTGTAAGACCAATACTCACACTAGTAACAGGCTTATCTGATTTAAAGAATACTTTGCTGTGGTTATCAACAGAAGGCGAAGGAGCCTGTTCCGTGAACAGCAGAGTCTCAAGTTTTGATGAAAATGTTCTTGAACAAGAACTGGTGGTTATCAGTAACCTACCAGGAGTGTGGAAGTATGTGAAGAGCATCCTTTACCTCCTACTTGTCTGCAGGTGTCTTAAGCATACAGGTTCCGAGTGTAATTCTGTGGTAATACACAGTGACCCTGTGGAATGTCTTTGACTATCTTCTGCTACCTTGATATTAAGAAACCCAGTTTCTCATGTAGAGACATTAGGCATGTGCACCTTGTTTTAATTTCCTGCTAATCTGAAATGGAGAAAAGACTGCTGGTCTTTGTGAAAGTGAATTAACATCTATCTTAAGAAGAGTTACTTGCTCTAAAAAATGCCACACTTTCTTCTTTAAAGAAAGTGGCTATCCTGGATTTTGTGTGCACTGTATGTTTATGTTTTGGGCTTATTGTGGACTAAGGACTGTAAATGTATAGTGCTCAGGATGCTACACCAGGGCAGAGAGTTGAGACTTGGTCCTGTCTACGTGCTCCTCCTTTGGATGTGCTGTCTGAGCAAGCCTTCTCTGAAGGACAGAGATCACGCTCTGACTTAGGGCAAATACAGTGATGGCATAGCTGACAAATACAAAGCAAGTGGTGGGTTGAGGGAAAAAAAAATCTAGGTTTTTGTTGGCAGAGGGAGCGCAGCTTTTTATTTGGGCCGTACAAAGTTGTTTTGTTATACCGGATTCAACCAGGAAACTTCTGGATACAGTAAAAGATTCAGGGGACTATCAGCTTAACGGTTGAGAACGAGTAACTGCTTGGGAAGGTCCTCATAACAGCTCAATTTGGCATAAAGCTTCTGATGATGGATGCATTGCTAGAAGAGTGCACCCCTGGGGAAATAAATAATATTGATTAAAATTACTAAATTGTGAAACTGATGACTACACTTTTATTTAAAAAAAAAAAAAAATTGTTTCCAGTCTTTTGTAGTGATTCCTCCCTCCCCCCCCCAATTTCAGGCATAAGTCCCTCTAATTTCATTTCACTGATTAGGAATTAAACACCATAAAGAAGCATCTAGACCCATCTGAACAGCTGAATCAGATTCTGGTATGGTTCAAATGACAAAATTCAGTCTGTGTTGTACTAGTGTTCACAGAATAATCACAGAACAGCCCAGGTTGGAAGGGACCTTGAAGGATTGTCTGGTCCAACCTTTGCTGGGAAAGGCAGCCTAGATGAGATTATCTAGCACCCTGTACAATTGCGTCTTGAAAACCTCCAGTGATGGGGACTCCACCACATCCCTGGGGAGGTTGTTCCAGTGAATGATTGTTATCAATTTCTCTCTGATACTGAGATGAAACCTCTCCTTGTGCAACTTGTACCTGTTGCCCCTTGTCTTTTCCATGTGGCTCCTTGTGAGGAGAGAGCCTCTATCCTCTTTGTAGCTGCCCTTCAGGTACTGGAATACTCTGATGTGGTCCCCCCTGAGCGTTGTCTTCTCCAGGGAGAAGAGACCTGACTCCTTCAGTCTTTCCTCATAGAGCAGGCTCTCTAGCCCTTTCATCATCTTCATGGCCCTCCTTTGGATCCCCTCCAGACTGTTTTATCTAATTACAGGGGTGTTTTGCTTGTTTGGGTTACAAAAAGTGTTGTTAACAAGTTTAATGATTTTTGTTTTTTTATTATGTTATTTCTTGAGCATATTAAATCTGAACAAAATAGTCTTTGCCTTTAGAAAGGCTTGAAGCAAGCCTAGTCTTCAATCTTGCAATATATAAGAAGTTTTATGGTAGTCTGAGAGACTTCTTTCGCTGTTATGTTTTGATGTTAGAGTGGGAGGTTTACTCACAAAGTTCTGTAAGTCGACATTTTTTTACTTAGTTCTTCATGGCCTTTTCCAGAGGAGTTTTTACTTAATTTCTGGAGAATTTTTCAATTTGAAACAAATGTCCTAAGAGGACTTTGCTAGATAATCCAGTACTTTGACCTTTAGAATCCAAACTATTATTAATTGACACAACTGTAAGGAGACTATATTTTTTAATCTTTCTTTAAGGAGAAATTGGACTCCTATTTCATAGCCTACCAAAAGCTACACTTTTGACCTTAATGATGTATTTTCTTCTCTTTTACTGACTGTGGTGTTTTGCGATTTTTAGACTGTATGCTGAGGATTTGGGTAAAGGTTGTTTGTAGCTATTACAGCTCTTCTAATTGCACCACTTAATGTTAATTCAGTTCATTCTTAGCACAGTGGCTAAACTGCATTTGCCAGCTCTTTATTCAAAAGGCCCAGTTGCAGAGCTTGCATTCTTTACCGGTCCAGGCAAATTAAATTTGTTGATCATGCAGTAGTAACCTCTGTTCTGTTGAAATCTCTAAACCTTTGTTGCTAATACCTCTAAAAGGTTTTCTTCTTTCATGTACATTTGATGACTCGTGTAACATTTAGATGTAGTTCCTGAATACTACGTGTTTGAGTTTTTAGCTGTGGTTTTAAGTTAATAAGGCACAGAGTGTTTCTGGGGAATTTTATCTTACACTGACTGCAATTTTCTTATTTTTAAATAATGTATTCTGATATCATTCTTTCAGCTACATAGTCATAAGGATCATCCAGAGGAAAGCTGCAGTAGGCAATTCTGTAATTGAGACTGGTACACATGAAAACAAAATACCATAGAATAGAGTCTAACTCCATGTGTCTTTCTTTGGTGTGTTGCATGCAATAGCTGAAGCCTTTTTTTGTATGTTGGGATACGGTGGTATTATTCTGCAACTTGTGTAATTAGCCATGCTTTAGTTCACAAAATTAATTGTTTGAAGTTTGGAATTAAAATCACATGAACACACACATGCGAAGGGGAGGAAGTAAGATTGTTTGTGCAGTCTTAAATCTGCTATACTGTAAAATATAGCAAAATAAGTCCCTGAGAGTGTGAACTGTCTTTTACTATTTCTAGTTACGCAGCTTTATTGTAAAGGAAGATCAGTTGTCCATGTATAGGTATGACTGTGACACTGAGATGGTAATGAAGTACTGTCTTTGCATGCAGCCATAATTAATGATAGAGATCCTTGAATTATAGCACAATTTCTCCACTTGCCCTCATTCCAGACCAACCGGCGCAGTATTCCTGTTTGGTTTTTGTACTTCATCTCCTGTGAACTCCCATTAAATTGTTTCTTGAGGCTCCGATTTTTTTCATTTAAAAATGAGCTGTTAAGCTGAAAGCAGAGGAAAGAAGGGTCTCTTGGAATAAGTGGAAAGAGAGATTTGAATTTAGGACCACTGATTGTGCTGCTGTTAGCTTTGTTTTAACATCTACAAGGCAGTTGAAACTTGTCTGAAATGAAAAATTTTAAGCACGGTTTAAACTTTTTATTTTGTGTGTATGTGGGTGGGTGGGAAGTCTGTTCTAAAAGAGCTGTGGGAGGGATAAATAACTGAAGTTTGCTGGTACAGGGTTATTTAGCCCAGTAAAAGAAGAGTTGCAGGGTAATGACACAAATTGCATACTGTGAATGAGCTATAAAATGTCAGAGGAAATTCACTATCAGTAAGTGTAAAGTAATACGTATGGGAGGACAGGGATCGAGGTCGGGGGCAGCGTTGCAAGCTATACTGCAAGGTGAAAGATTTTTCTAATTCAGACTATTGTAGTTTAGGAAAGAGAGTCATTGGGACTGTTAAGAGTAGAACAGCAGCACTATTTCCAGTTGCCATCTAGGAGAGAAGCAGTGTTGGTAATTACTGAGGTAGCAGTAGCAAGGAAAACAGAAAAGGAACTGTTATGCCTTTGAAGGAATCTCACCTTCCCACGTCTTGAAGTGTGTCAGCTCTTTTGGTCACCTCAAAGATGCTAAAACTAGAAAAAGCAGATTAGAGTGACATGCATGATGAAATTTACAGAATGATTTATGTATTGGGAGAAATTTTAAATTAAGGTCCTTGTTTTGAGAGGAGGTGTCTGAGGATACAAAAGGACTGTATATAGAACTGCAGGTGAGACTTGGAAAAGGCAACGAGTATTTTTCGTTTCTTATTTTACAGAAATAAAGGGATATAATTTCCGACAGATTTTGTGAAATAAGGAGAAAGAACGCTTTTTCTACAGAGACTATAATTGACCTGTGGCACTTCTTGCTGTAGGGTGATGTTGATATATCAAAGCATGTATCTATTCAGACAGCAGTCTGGGTAGAGACATGGCAGCCCATCTGTGGATCTGTCCTCCATAAATCAATGCATAAGTCTTTGATTCAGAAAACTTCTAAGGGTAGATTGCCAGGTGGAAAGTATTTTGTCGTTGCTTTTTTTATTTCTTCAAATACATGCTGTAAGATCTACAAGTCTTTCATCTGGCTACTATGGTTGCCCTAATGTTCATCCTAACTGAACCAAAACTACAGTCAGTTTGCCTTTGCTCTGTTACTGTGTGTGCTACTTGGGCAAAATAGAAGTAACTCTTTGTTTGGCACTTCTTCATCCCAGGCTGCATTTGTGGAAGTGGAGTATTGATGGAATCGTCTCACTGGGTTTGAGTGTCACCTATTTTGGTGGGATGAATTGGTCTCAGGCTTGTGAGAATTCATAAAACACTATGATGCAGTGTTGTCAGCTGGATTTTAGGTCAGAATACAAGGTTTTGGTGCTCTTTGCAGCAGTAACCTCCCCCAGCCTGTGAATGGCATGCCAGCTGCCATGCTCCTTACATAAGGGCATGGGGGAAACAGAGCAAGATTTCTAATCTAGCTTGTAGTCATTGGTAGCAGTTGTAAGCTGGGCTCCTTGTGGTGTTTGTCTAAAGTCAAGGTTTGCTAAACAAAAAACTTCTTTTCCCCTAAAACTAAAAATTAAAAAAAAAGATGAGAGCACACTGTCTCAGTGGGGGCCAGTGAAGAGTCTACGAAACCTAGAAAACTATCTCTTCCCAAGCAAAAGCCCCACTTGTTTGAGGACAGATGTTATAGATAGAGAAACTTGGTGAGAGCTAGACAACACCACTGCAAAGGCAGCTAGATTTTGCTGCGTTGCTTTAAATCCATCTGTTAATACGTAGGTATCCAGTGTCTGGGAAACCAGGCAATGCAGGTCTTAAAAACACAATTTCTGCTTTCCCAGTTGCAAGTTCAGTGATACATGCTTGTTAAAAACACTTTTCTAGAAAGTCTTCCTGTCTAAATGCTGCAGTATAAACAAAACTAATACTGTTAGTAAAGTATTATTGTGGGGAAAGTGAAAATTACTTAAGTACCTTAGCTCTGTATGATTTAGAGTTTTAACAATGGCTTGTAAAACTGGGTTTTTTTCTTTAGCAATGTCTGGTTCTAGTACCTGGTAATTTTAGTATTTACAGATGTCTTCTGTCTCTAATATTAACTCAGCTGCTGCTTCTGAAAAAAAAAGCTGGGTCTGTTGAAACAGTTTAAGCATCAGAATGGTAGGTGGCCTTTCAGCTGCTTAAATAAAAATGAGTCTGCATTGGGACAGACATATGGCAGGGTATTAAAATTGGATAGCTTATGCTATCACTGCTGCCAAGGTCCAGTTTAGTTTGCCCTTATATGCACAGCTGAAAGTTGTGCTGGTATTTGAACTGATTCACAAGCAGGTCACAAGCTTCTGCCCTGAGGGTGGCTCGGCTTACTAGAGAGGTGTAGTTGCTGCCTACTGTTTTAATCCACTGCTGCATGTCTGTCAAACCAGTTAAAAATGTTTTTATACAGGTAATAAGTGCCACAAATAATCTTTTTAGTATTTAAAATCCATCTGCAGTAATTATAGCCACCTGTGAGAATCCAAATGAAATAGCCTAGCACTGAAATTAGAGTAGAGCTGACTGCTTTGTCTAGCATGGTCAGTGCTAGTGACATGTAATACACTGGCATATCTGGCAAGAAGATTTCTTTTGAAGTACTTCTAAGTGGTACTGGGTAACAGAGACCATCTTTTTAAAATTACTTTTGCATTTTTTTGGCTTTGCTTTACTAGTTCTAAGGAGCTCTTTGAATCTGAAGGTGAAATTGAGGTTAATACTAAGTACATAGGGAAGGTGGTCTCTTGCCAAGTTACTCTGTTTAGAAAAACTGATGTTTCTGATAGCCAGTGAGAGGCTCAAAAATAAATAAAAATGCACGCTTGTATTGCAGTTGTGCATTCAGATCCAAACAAAATAAGTAAAAATGAGGTCAGAAATGAGTAGTCACTTTTTTCACAGCAAGATTCCAATTTGGAATTAACATTTGTATAGTTGGTGGTGTAGTTGAGATGTGCATACAGCAGACATGTTTCTCGACAGCACGTACAATTCTGTATTCTTTATAATTTTGCTTATTATTAAAGCATCCTGGTTGGAAAAGCTTACTCAGAAACTGATTTCAAAAGTTGTCCTTTATCCAGAGATTACACCATAATTTTTGGGACACAAATACGCTTGCTGCTCTAAGGATCGAGCAACTCCATATCTTGAGAAGAGAGAATTACTGGAATATATTATGTCAAGTAGTTTGTCATTTAAAGAAAACCAAAGCTAGGGTTGCTTCTGCAGCACAAATAAAACTAGCTTATGTGTATAGACACAGCTGTCCTTACTGCGTAGCAAAAGGCTTTATTTACCACTCTTCTACCTTATTCACCAAGTGGATAGTTCTTTGAAGTTTTCTTTTTAAAGATGATGTTACAGACTTCATGCTTGCCACCTAAACTTTGATCAGAGATCATCTTATATGGGCATTTCTGAATTAATTTGTATCTTAATATTGTGACATAGAATGGGCTTTTTTCTCTTTATGTGCTAGCAACAGAGGCACAGTAACCAGGGCTGTCACTTGTCCGCTAATGTGAGTTCAGTAACTTGCTCAGCATTGCGCAGGTGCTTCTTGTGGAAGGAATAGCTCAGTTTCATTGGTCTGAGTGCAGTGTTTCTGTAGTTCCTTGCTTGACTGACCGGCACCGACACCTTTTTCAGCCAATAGTGTAAGTATAGGGGCCTAGCAGACAAAAGGGTTGCTTGCTTCTGGAGAACTTTGTCCTAAATAGAGCACAGAATTTGGGAAAATGGGGAAGGAAGCACATAATGAACTTTAATCTTATGCTAGATGTATATGGGTTGAGTGGATAACCTCAGTTTATTCTCTCCTACAATACACAATTTCTGTGCATTCATGCTGCCCAGCCTGCTCCTCCTTAACACCGACAACGGCTGAACAAAACCCCAAAAAGCTTAAATATGTTTTATCTTGGAATATGTTGACATTCTAGAATCAATTAGTGGTGTTGGATCCTTTGTATTTACTGCTTTGGTTTCTGCTACTTAAACTCAGTGACTTGTAGTGTTGGTGAATGGTCCTCTCCTCCATGGAACTGTAATAGAAGGAGGTGACCCTCTTCTGGCTGTTGAATACCATAGCCGTGAGCTTAAAGCAGAGGTGCAGGCTCAGACTTCTAAATTCAGCTCATCTGGCAGGAGGTGGGTTGTCTCATGATCAACAACTAATGCCTGTCTCTTAACGGTCCTCCTGTTTCCCTTACCTTCATTGCTCCTGCAGCCATCTTGCAATTCATGTCTTCCATTGAAGCTTCTCTGCCTTGTCCTGTAGTACACTAGCAAGATCTTCGAGAGAACATGAGAGAAATAGTTTTTGTTCTCCATTTCTGTGACTTAATGTAAGCAAAATGAGATTTTTTCTTTAGCCTGTTTTTTCTGGAAATGTCTGAGCTGTGTCAACACCCGTAGTATTTCTGCCTGAGGCAGGTTCATCAATACAGAAGGGAAAGTAAGTAGATGTCTTTAAAACAGACAGTGTCTGGCAACATTAACTGTAAATGCTTTTAATATTTTGGTGGACTTGGGATTGAAGAGGGTAAAGCAGAAGACTGTAAGGTGTAATCGACTCATTTCAGTCAGTAGTTTGGTAACTGCAATTCAGTTATTAAACTGTTAGTAATCTGTGTGTGTGTGTGTAGGCCAGAAGCGAGCACCTAAGCGGGGAGAACAGCAAGGATTCAATAACAGAGGAGCAGAGGTGAAACAAGACAAAACTGAATGGAGACCATCTTTCAGGGAATACCGTTCCTATGAGACAGAAAGACAAGCAGAATTCACGGTGGAAAGGTATGTATCATATAGGGAGAAGTAAGGTGCCTCACAGAGAATCTGCACAGGGGTGGGAAGGGGAAGGCTTAACCTTCTTAGAACAGATCTAGTAGCCAGACGTGATTTGAAGGCATTGTGGCATTATTAGTGTGTAGGTTTGTTGCAAGATGACTTAGTTCATGCATGTCAGAACTGTAATTTCAGCTTCCTTGCAGACTGATTTGGAGCGGTTTTGTTAAATCTTAGAAATACAAGGCAAAACTGAAAAGTGTAAAGATCTGAAAATGTAACCCCTAGTCTGCAACATAAATGTTCATTTCTGAGCTTGCATACCAAGCTTTGCAGAGCATGTGGTGCAGGTTCCAAGCTGAATGGATTTTACTGTTCAAGCTGAAAATAAACCTTTATCATACTATTTCCTGCTTGGACAGGGAACGCATATCAGTTTTGCTTTTTCTGTAAGTACTAGAAAATTCCACCTAAACCTTTAATGCTTGAGAGCATGGCTGTGCTTACTTTACATCACAATAGTTGGGATTTAGTAAGTTCCCTGAAATTTTTAGCAGTTGCATATAAATCTGGGTTTAGACAGTGGAGTTATTGCCTCATAAAGTTGCTGAAGATTTGACAGTTTTATAGTGGTGTATTTAACTTCTGTAAAGTTTTCAGTGTTATCAATAAACACCTGAACTTTCTATTCCTGTTATCTGTAATAATTCCCCCTGAGTTCAGTTTATGCCCATTTTTAATGACAAAACTAATACAACTGTACTGTGTGGTGTATAAAGATGCACTCTAAAAATTGTACAGTAGCTTTCATATACTGATGCCTCTCACAGCTGCACAAATACAACCATACAAGTTTTTTTTCTCCTTGTTAACTGCTCCGTAGGAACAAAAATCTGACTAGAAATCTTCTTTTTAGACCAATTGAAAGATTAGACCGTGAAAGGCCAATAAGAGGTCGTGGCGGAGGAAGAGGTGGAATGCGAGGTAGAGGAAGAGGTGGTGGAATAAATAGAAGTTTTGATGGCTTTGAACAAAGAGGAAAACGGGAATTTGAAAGACAAAGTGGGAATGATAAAATGTAAGTGTTCTGTGTGCTGCTTCTTACTTGGTGTACAAGTAAACAATAGTCAGCACTGTAGTGGTGTCTCTTAAGTATTCTGTTCCTTTCTTCTATATCCAAGTTGGCTGGCAAAAAGTCAATACTGGTTTTAGTTTGAGGTCCTAATGAAAAAAATATCCTAAACTCACAGAACCCTGTTTCTTTTTCTAGAGGAATGAAAGCAGATGACAAAAAGGGTGGAGGTGGGGCTCGCAACTGGGGAACAGTTAAAGGTGATACAAGGTACAACATATACCTGTGCCCACCATAGATCATCATTTTCTGTGGCCCACCTTAGATCATAATTTTCTGTTCATCAGTTTCATGTCCGTTCTGAGCTTTATAAGCCTTGCTTTCTATTAATGTTATGATGAACATAGTTTTACAGTTTTCTGAACTCATCTCCTTCATGTTGGTGAGATTAAATTGTGGCAAAGGCATGGTGATGTTTCTTCAGTTAAGACTGCCAAAATCTTTTGACTGGGGCCAAGTTGTCTTTTAACTGAAATAAGTTACGGCTTTTCTCAATAGTCAAGTAAGTGGGACTCTTAATGGCATTACTACAAAATGTCGATTGAAATTCTGTTAGTGGGCTTAAAGTCCAGTCTCTCTTTCTCAAGTTTTATGTATAATTTCTAAATTGCAAAGCTGTAATACAATTCAGTGTGGCTCTGGAGGTAATACTTAGCTGACTGTAGCACTGAAATAGATTTAAAAGTGCACAGGAGGATCAGTAACAGAATGTGATGGCTTATTAATGGTTAGATTAAAAAAAAAATGGGAATTTTCAATTAAATTCTGTATTTCTCTGGTTTCTGTTCAGATTTGCAAAAAGCTCACTGGAAATGTCAGCTTTTGTCCATTCTTTGCACCTAGCAATACGGTGCTCTTTCCAGTAGCTTTGTTCTTATATGCATCTAGAACTCTTTAATTGAAGGCTGATAAAGGACAGACAAAAGGCAGTGCTTTGAACTTACAGCAAACTTCTTTGGCCACGTACACATTCATTCACAAAATTGTTTTAAAAATAAAATTTTATTTTTAAAACTTAGATCGTGGATTCAGGCAATCTGGCTAAAAGGTTGAAAAATACAGCCTTTTTTGGCTTGGGGCTTGATATTCCAAGTTCTTCTGAAAGGTTGTACTAACTTCATCTCTTCTACAATATTTCATACTAAAAGTAAAAGATTGGTTAGGTACTCCAGCTTTTCAAAACAAAGGATCAGCTAGGTTAACATAGTTTTGTGCTATCAGCTCAGAACTATCTGACCAAAAGCACAAAACTAACTTCTGCAGGATGTCAGAGAAGGTTGTGTGAACTTCGTAAAGTACAAAAAATTTAAGATCCCTCATTTATTCTCCTTAGTTAGGTTTTTTTCAGTTCAGTAGCATCGGAACTTATGATAGAAACATGAGATATCAATGCTTTCTTCTGACGTGGTGTGTGTGGTAGAAGTGACGTTAAACTGGAGTTATTTAAACAATTCTAAAAACATGTCTGTGCCTTAATTGTGCTCAGTGATACATCAAAGCTAGAAGATGTTAATTTTACATGTGTATGCCTACCAGTGGAATGAAAGTAAGTATGCTACTGCTCTCATTTGCCAGTGAACTAATGTCTGTGTTACAGAAAATACGAACTTGGAGTATGAATTTTACCATTTTAATAGTTGAAAAGAAACAAAAAGGCAAACCCAAACATCAGTGATACACTTTAATTAAGTACTGGTATTAGTATTCACGATTTAATTATTTTGTCTTCATGCATGCTTTTCACTTTTTTTGATTAAAAGTACATAAAGTCAGATTTTCCTAATACTTCTCATTTTGTTAGTCGCTCAACTAGTCACTTAGTAGGTCTACTTTCTGCTTATGATCCTGGAGTTTTTCTTCTCTATTTTTTCCCCTCCCAAGGAATTCTGGAAAAAGAATTTTGAATTTTACCATTTTAATAATTGAAAAGAAACAAAAAGGCAAACCCAAACATACACTTTAATTAAGTACTGGTATTAGTATTCACGATTTAATTTTTGTCTTCACATGCATGCTTTTCACTTTTTTTGATTAAAAGTACATAAAGTCAGATTTTCCTAATACTTCTCATTTTGTTAGTCGCTCAACTAGTCACTTAGTAGGTCTACTTTCTGCTTATGATCCTGGAGTTTTTCTTCTCTATTTTTTCCCCTCCCAAGGAATTCTGGAAAAAAGTGATGTATTGATCTCCGAGGTTTTTTTTCCAATATGACTCATGAAGACTTTGTGTTTTTTTTGTTTACTGTTTTAGTGGGATGGAACAGACTGCTCCTATGGAAGAAGCAGAAACAGCTGAGCAGCCAGGGGCATCTGAAGGAGAGCCTCTGAACAAGTATAGTCTGACTAAAATATTTTCTTCCTAAATGCAAAGAAAACAATTGACTGTTACTGATATACTTGTTTTGGGAGGCACACTTGAAATGTGAACTGTGAAGTTTTGCTGGTGCACATATATAGACAAAGCTTTTCTATTTTTAAATTTGTGAGTCAAGAAAATGCATCCCTAATTCTGAGTAAAGCTCGGTTTATACAGCTGCAGATTGCATTTAATTGCCCAGTGATGCTTACATTCCTAAGACTTGGCAATAATTTAAGGAGGAGCTATATGTTGTCTGTTGCCTTTTTAACTTGGCTAATTTATAAAAACTACCCTGCTTTCTGAAGTTCTCCATGAGAAAAAGATATTCAAGGTGCCTACGCAATCGTACAAACACAATTAAAATACACTACGATAAAATTCTCTAAGTCAGTGTTCATCAAACACTTAATACCAGGCAGTTGTCATCTATTCATGAAGGGACTCTGCAGAACTTGAAAAACTCGCTGGAAGTGGTCTTGCGGTGAGTCTTAGAAGTAGGGAAATTGAGACAGAAATCTGCCCCTTGTCTTCTGGCTTTCATTCTTATCAGTGTCCAGTGGGACTTGACTTCACAGCAAATAAACGCTGGCTTAAGAAAAAGTAACTGAACAATCTTGTCCAAGTTTAAAGAATAATCAAATAGCATATGATGAATATCTCCTAATGAGTGAAAGAAGGTCAGTGCGGTACGTCAGCCTTCTCTTCTGCTACAAAGAGAGATTAGCTTTCTATGAAGCCTTTTTTTACTTAATGATGCAGCTCCAGTTATTAGTGGCCTTGGTTCATTTCTTAATTATAAAGCTGACTAGACTATAAAACCTGTTTTATGTTCAGGTTGTATAACCCTGTAAGAAGTTGAGTTGATATAGCTTTAATTCTTTTAACTTTAAACGATCTTTTAATATATAGCTAGAGGTGTGTATACATGGGAAAATCTGTCTCTGAAATTGAATGACTATGATTGGATTTCCAGAAAACTGTTTCTAGACTAACTTAGATGGGTAGTGTAGACAAACTGTCAAAAATGCACCGTATCAGCTAAATATGAGAACAGTTGTTCAGCCTTTTTCGTCAACTACTGGTACCTTTACTTGTTTCAGACTTGTATTTGTTTCTACTCCAATTCAAGCTCTTGGTACATGTGTCCTGACATCAGTTCCTCGTAGAGTGTAAGGCCTGAGAAGTATATGTAGTGGCAAAGGCATCTGACAGAATCTGCCAGTTGTCTTCAATTCTTTTCCCTTTCTCAGAGGTTACTAGGTATTCGGTCAGACTGTGAGCCTTTCTGGAGATTTTACTGCTCTTTGTGTTTTTAAAAAAAGCTTCGTTTAGGAATAGTCCACTGAAATCCGTAAGATTCAAAAATGCAAGTAACCTACAAGTACAAAATTCTGCATCATGTTCTCTTCTCAGTGCAGTAGATATTGTCCTGAAGACTCACAAATCTGTCTACAAGATATGAATTACATATACCTCATTGCATTTACCTTTGGGGGTAGTATCAGCTTGGTGACTCTATTTTAAAATAGAAGATTTGCACTATTGTGCAAATAGTGCCTAGGTAATTAGGGATGGTTGTATGGCATACACCTTAACAAGGTGGAATTATTTTTGTTCCTCTTCTAATATTTAAAAGCAAAAGCTGGTGGGATATGGTTTTCAGGCTTCAGGAAGTATTTTAAGGTCTTGTATGCTTAGGTTGCCCCTGCTCTCCAGAGTTGCTGTCTTCTGGCAAGTAACATACATACACCAGCAAAAGATTCTAGCTAGGCTACCTTCTGCTTTCACTAAAGCCTCAGTATTGAGGGTGTAGGGAGGTGTGTTTGCTTAAGCTCCTGCTATGATTGTTCTCAGTTTGACTCTTAAATGCAGTGACTCCAAGGAATCAATTTCTTTTCTACTGCTTTATTGCAGTTGTGTGCTTGTATTGAGGAAGAGATGGAAAACTTGGGTTTGTTTCTCCTCTCATTCTCTTTCCCGTTGTAACTGTTTCCATTTAAAATAAAAAAAAGGTATTCCTGGAAGTTGGGAGTGATCTGTCTGGGTGGAGGTAATGTATAGCTTTCTGGTGTGGTACTGGCTAATTTCAGTGCAACTCTGGAAAGACTTCTGTGGGCTTCTGTAACTTACGGGGTCTTGCCTTCAGGACTGTGTCCACATTGCTGTTCTTGAGCTTCCATTTGCAAAGTATTGCAGGACAAGAGTTTCTTTAATACTTCTATATGAGGTTATTTCTTTCCATATCTTCAAATTTCCTTGAGTGTGTCAACAATATCTATCTGTTTATAGCATCCCAACTGCTAATAGTTGTGGGTTTTTTGCTGCAAGTAATAAGTATAAAATATATAAGTAGTACAGCAGCATAAGGTTTCCTCACAGCTGCTGTCTGTTGAACTTGTCTTCACAGTCTGAAGAATGTAACACACTTGTGTTGACTGGTAATTCAAATGAATAAATTTTTCTTTTTATTCAGTACACCACATAGTCTACTCAATTCCTATGAAAGGTATTTGCAGAGTTAGTATTTATTCTGTGGGGTTTTCTTCCATTTCTTCACACAGGACTTTCTTCTGTTTTTGTATTCTTCTGGTCATTTAATAAGCTTTCAGAATTTGTCTTCACATTTGCTAAGCTGTTTACCTCTCTTGCTTGTTTTTTTTTGTTTTTGGTTTGGTTTGGTTTTTTTAATAGTGACATAAAACTATCCATAGACCAGGCCAGATCTTTTATAGGTATTTGGTTCAGTGTTTTTCTTCTATAGTTAACTTGTACAGGTACCGCTTGGTCTTACCTTGTTTAACTTTGAATTTTGCTGTAGCTGGTGGTAATGCTCCTGTAAATGCTTTTTTAATAGGAAAGATTCATGTAATTGATTTCTTGATAAAAGTTGAATAATCAGCTGCTTTGTGCAGCTGAATAATACAAAAACTAATCTGAAAAAGACCCACTATCGTTATTTTTAATGATATGAAAATAACAGCTGAACAACTGAGCTGAATGCCATTCTTTGCCATTTGCATTTCTTCAGCGTATTAATGTGTTCATGTAGAGCAGTTCCTGCAAGAAAGGTATGCACAGTATACAAGGCATAGCTAGAGGGTTGTGGTCATCCACTGAAAACACTGAAGTAGTAGGAGCCATTACTGAAGGCTCCCACTTGGTGTTTTGGTATGTACTTGCATTGTGAACTCAGTTTGTTCATGTCCAGAGGCCATGCTTAGGTGTCTGGCAATATTTTGTAAGCATGATTGTTGGTGTGCCAAGGAGCTTATTAACTTGATTAATGAAAATGCACACCAAGCAGTTACGAAAACTGCGTAAGGTTAGAAGGTAGAAAGTAATGCACAGAGTGCTCTTCCATGCAGGCTTGGTGCCCAAAATAACCTGCTACAATCAAGTCTCTGTCCAAAATGTGATATGCAGGTTCTTGTTGCTGTGCTTCGCTCATGGGAGGTGTTTCCCCTTGGGACTCTCAGCATCCTAAAACAAATTTGTACTGCTAATAACCTAGCAGTTGAAACCATCCTTTGGACTAAAAATCAAACTGTACTTTGCAGTTGAAAACACAAACATTTATACCTGTGATTGCTTTTTTGAGAGGTCAAGTTGCTGTGTAGTGGAATGACCTTGTGTTGTCTATGATCATAGAAATTTAGATCTGAAAGGGGTCTTGCTGACCTAAGGCATGACCAGCCATACCTGTGCTGCTTCTCGTGCCTGCCTAGTTGATTTTAATGTCCTCTACCGATAGAGATTTCAATGTCCCTTGATGGTCTTTCCAATACTTTGAAAATAGAAACTACTGTGTTTGTTCTTTTTTCTCCTGAGTGTCTTGCCTTAACATCATGGATATGCAAAATTTGCTTTCTTTTTTAGCATTATGTATGTTTCCTCCTCAGCATCTCTTTAAAAGCTTCCTATGTAGATCACATATTTTAGACCTCATAACTGTCTTGCAGTTCTATTCTGGACTTTCTACCTGTTCCCACATAGAAGACGTTACTCAGTTGAGACCTTGTTCCACCTGACCAGCAGTGACATGTTCCAAACAGAACTGTTTAGTGTCTTCTTATAATAGTACACTGTTGCAGAAGGGACAAATGCTGTTGATTTGAAGTTCAGCTTGACTGGGTTACCTGCAGTACTCTTGCATGGTTTGCAGGGGGTTGGGGACCCTCCTTAAGAGCTTCTGTCTTGCTGGTGGTTCTTTCTGTTTGGGCAGTTGATGCTTTTACCTGAGAGTACGTACTTTTGATTGTCCTTGGGACTTCCTGGTGGTGATTGTTTTAGTTGGTTGTTTTCAAATCACTTGCTTTGTCTCTTTAGCATCTCATACCACTGGTCAGTCCTTCAGTATTCTTGAACACTTGCGCTATTGCCCTTTTTCTTTCGCAAGCTTTGTGCCATAGAAAATGCACTAAATGTATTACGTATTACACTGTGGATAAGTACACAGAGCTGGCCTTAAAGCTTCACTCAAATGCTTGTTTTTCTTTTGCAAATTGAAAGATTGATAGCTACTTCTCAAGTACTTGTTGCAACCAGTTCTGTATCTTTCTACAGCTCTTGCCAAGGACTGAAACATGTCTCCCTAATGTGGTGGTAACTTAATGGGAGAGGAGGACAAAAGACTTCCTAAACTTCAGATATGCAATTTACTGATTCTGTCCTGAGGTAGTGGCTTAGGAAGAAATGAAACCAATTTAATAGACCCCCTTTTTATTAGTTTACTTTCTCTTTTTTTCTTCGTCTGGGTGCTTGCAACTAGTCTTGTTTTTTCCAACACCTATTCCCAAAACTGAAGCTTCAGATAATTGATCAAAAATTATCTGGCTTCTTACTCTTGAAGACAACAAATTGAAATGTTTGGGGTGCAGTTGGTTCTTAATGCTCTTATATATGGAATAGTATCCGTTGGTGTTTTTCCATAAGTAGCTGCATCTTTCGCCAGTATACTTTTTATTTAACTCAGTAAACCAGTTAACTTTTTTTCTTAACAGTCCTTCTAATATAGTTTCAGATCTTCTTAATCAGTATGGAACTACAAACTGCTTACCAGTCTTTTAACCTTTAAATTCTGGTTGATATAGCTGGAATTTTCAAAATAACAGGGCATGAAGGCATGTCAGAGGGCAGGCATATAGTACAGGACTTGCATATTTTTTATGTACTTTTACTGTGAGGTGCATTCAAAACGGTGCTGATCCTAGAACCAAAATTAAGGGTTGTCTTACTGTTCGGTTCTGCTTCTACCTGTCATATGCTGGGTGCTTCAGGAAAGTATTGTATAATTTTGACTGGCAAGAAATAGAATGGTTCTCTGCAAGATCAAGTAGGAAGTGGGAGCAGGCCTGTTCCTATTTAGGCTAGTTCTAAAATATTCAGAACACTCCCAACAAATGTGTGTGTTCTGATGGGGTGCTTGTACAACTTCAAAAACAAAATGCACAGTTCAGTGTCATTTGACTCTGCATCTTTCCATGATAAAATAAATTTTGAACTTGCATCTAATCAATTGTATGTTTACATTGGAAAAATCATCAGCATTTGGTAGAAGAAGACTTGGAACTGCAATTGAGTGAGGAAAAACAAATCCATAGTTCTACTAGAAGGGACCTAGTGAAAAGGTTTTCTGGAAAAATCAATGTTAGGGAAATACTTAACCAACTTCGACTGCTATTGCAATGCCTAACAGTTTTGTGTAGGAGAAGGGAGAAATGGTTTGTCAAGTGTCTGGGAGTAATCAGTGCAGGTTTTCCTGTAGTTCATGGTATTTGACTTGTTTCTGCTGCAGACAGTTATGGTGGTGAAGTGAGTTGTGCTCTCTGCATGTGATGCTGCTTAGTAGGGAATAGCTTTCTGCAAATATCATTAGGTACACCTGTAGTGTACTCTAATAGCTGCTAGTCCTAGGCAGGTCGGTCTTGGTTAGCATCAGCAAAGTGGCAGAAGAGTAGTCAAGCAGTGATGAGAGAATCTTTAGATTTGTCTTATGTATCTTGTCTTACGAATGCAGACATAAAGCCTTGGACTTCGGTCTTTACTGTTCAAAAATATGCAAGGCAGACTCCATCGTACTCCATATGTTTTCCTTGAACATATCGTCGTTATTGTACTTTGTGACAAATTAAAACTGGACTAGGATTAATCTGGCTTTGCCAGGTGATAAATACTGTCTCCTTGTGTGCTGCTACATCTGACAAAAGAAATAAAAGAAGCATCTTGTGAAATTAACAAAGGAAATACTAGTAATTACCTAGAAGATCCCATGGTGTGATCATCATGTCTTTTTGATGACTGAAAGCTGCACTGAAACATGAATCCGTCTCATATCTTCATCCTGCAGTACGAGTCAGTAAAACCATGCAATTGGGATGTTCTAAAACCACTCGGTATGCTTTTTTTACTATGGCTATATTTGCTAGGAATAGATTCACTATTAAACAGTAGGGTTGAGAATATGCCGGCTCAAATGACGGACTGGTTCTGTTTAGAATCCGAAGTACTTGAACTTACGATGAGACTGGATAATAGTAGAACTTACTACAGGAGGCTGGAGACAGCATTTGTTCATACAACTAATTTCAAATAGGCCATAAGTATGTTTTCCAACTTGCACTAATGTAAAACTTGCACATCAAGTTACTGTGGGGAGTAAGGGAAATCGAGGATAGTAATTTGGTGAGAAACATTCCAAATGTTTTGTTTAGTATCCTTGCTTTAGAGATTAGTGTTCTTGTTCATCCTGGCGTGTTGCAAGCTAATGGTTTTTACTTTACAACTATAAACCTTTAGAGTTGCTGAAGGAGAGCCAATGGAAGAAGTAGTTCAAGAAATGACGTTAGATGAGTGGAAAAATCTTCAGCAACAGAATCGACCAAAGCCTGAATTCAACATCCGGAAGCCAGAATCCACTGTTCCTTCCAAAGCAGTGGTGATTCACAAGTCAAAATATAGCGATGATGTAAGCATTGCCTCAGGAATTCTGTAAACTCTGCTTTATGCCCAGGGTTAGGAAACTGTCTCTATTCTTTTTCTACTAGTTTTAGTATAATCTGAACAGACTAGAAATCAGTAAGCTTTGTTACTGTAATCACATATGTGCCCCAAAACTTGCTTTAAACTTACCATCTGTTCATTTTCTTCTCTCAGATCATCATCCCTATTTTATATGCAAATACATAATATATCAAGTTGTTCTACCTTGTGGCTCAGTCTTAGCAATATAAAACCTGTGACCTTGCTGCTGCCACCTATGTAGATCTCTGGTAAAGCTGCTAGAGAAACTTCATTTGCTGAACACTTCTTATCCTAACTTTGAATCCTGTTTAGGTTACTTGCCAGTACACACTTGCATGTATATATTAAACTCGGGTTTTGGTATCTGTTAGTCTGGATGCCAAGTATCCTGTTTCTCATCTGTGCTGGATCCCAGCTTTCATTGTGCACTTGGAATATATGATTTTTTTTTTCTTTTTCAGTTTTAGGGTCCTGCTTCTTAGAAGTAACTCTGGAGAGCTTGTTCTATAGTAATGTGCTTTCCCCTGGGTTTTTCCCTAATTTATTCCACCATATTACTGGGATTGACATTTCAGGGAGAACTTTTAATTTATTGATATGATTGGGGAAGAGAGGGGAGGCTTCTTTCACAGATTCTTGCTTACTTAGATTTCAGGTTTTGGGGGTCACAGAAGTATGTGCATATACTTGTAGTCTAGCATGATGGAATTCTGTTCCTTAAGGTCTGCATGCGCGTATGAATACACATATTATCCTTTGTCTAGTTATAATATTAACATCAAAACTTGCAGCTTTTTAAGCCTTAATCACTTTAGGTCATGGAGTGCTTCCAGGGACAGAGGCTAATACTGCAGTGGCCTGCATCCATTTTCGCATGGCTTTTGGTGGTCACAGTTGCCATTATCCCCTCTTCCTTCTCTGAGGGAGATGGTGGTAGGGGTGGGGAGAATATCTTTCACAAGCTCTGAAGAGAGTATGTAAAGTGTGTATGCAAGTTTCTGTTCTTTTTGCCCATAAAGTTTCTTGGCTGGCAGTATCAATGGACCTTGTCAAAAGGAACATAGACTAGGAGGTACAGGAACTGCATAACATGGACAAGTCAAATCCCTGTATTAGACATTGAATAAAATAAGTGATTCATCACTGTATGGGATGAGTTTACACGTATGTTATCATTACTACAGTGCACATTAAACTTATGATGGGAAATAGTCTTACATACAGTAGCTACTAGGAATACACAGAGTTAAAACAACAGTAATCTCATAGCTGCAGACAAATAGACTAATAGATCGGTTAGTAGCCAAATACTGTGCTTTACTCTGGCCTTTTAACCATTAGTTCAAGATAATTGTAGGAGTAAGTAGCTTAAGCCTGATTCTCTAGTCCCTTAGAAAACCTTGTAGATGATAACCTCTTCAGTGTTACGGAGCTGGTGCAGAAGACTTTCTTGCCAGTCTGAGCCAACAAAGAACTATCCCAGGCATCTGGGAAGCTACAGTTGCATCACCTCTGTTAAAACCCTGTGCAAGTTAAGGCCTGTGTTCTATTCCGGATGTCATCTTGATTTATCTGCTGCTTAGTCAGTAATACAAGTGTGTGTGTGTGTGTATATGTATCGGGGGGGGGGGGCGGGGGGGGGGGCACCACAGAAA